ATACATACAGCTATTAGAATACATTAAACAAGAGTGACATTGCTTCTAACACTTTTCTGCCAATATACACCAAACAATAATGCATTGCTAATGAATCACATTTTTTGTTTTATCAGTTTTACCCAGATTCAGGACACTGTCCAGTGTTACTTGACCATTACAGCTACTCCTCCTCTACAGGGTTGTGAAGACTGTAAGCAACTCCAAACCCAGGATCAAGATGATGGTCAGTTAATCACTATCTTTTACTACTTATAACTTCAAGATGAATATATATTCAATGATAGGAACTAGAAGTTATGTATTAGAAGATGTGACAGCAGCTTTTCTGAGACTAAACAAAAACACCATATAGTATTGTTTACCATCATGATGTATGTTTATAAGAACAATTATGTACTACAGTTAAAATAATAGATTCAGTAGTGTTTACTGTCATGATGTATGCTTATAAGAACAGCTGGATGCTACAGTGAAAATGATAGATTCAGTAGTTTGTTTACTATCATGATGTATGTTTATAAGAACATTTGGATGCTATGATTACAATAATAGATTCAGTATTGTTTACCATCATAATGTATGTTCATAAGAATAGCTGGATGCTACAGTTAACCCTTTGACTATGACCTGCTTACGGTGTAAGTAAGAATGCAAATCTCATGAAAGTTCTTTACAAAAATAAAACCAGTAGATGAAATTCTTTTAAATTTGAGATGAGAGGTCCTATAAGTATGTAGTTTTTGAAAAATAAGGTATTTAATTTTGATATTTTCTAAAACAATATAGTTCTCATGCCTTTTTTTTTTCTTTTTTGCATGTTGTCTGTCCAACATGCAAAGTAATTTTAAGATTAAAGATACTTTTATGTATCAGGAAATTTTCAAATTTCAAATGCGAAATTCTTATAATGTCCAGATAGTTATCAAACATTTCTTAATAAAAAAAAGTATATTTTAATTGTTGTTTTGACTAATTAATATGTGTATGGGGTTGGTTGATTTGACTGATCTCGTAACCCCATAAACAATTATGAAATAAATATTAATTATGCCTGTTTCATTCTAGAATGACTACAAATTATAACACAAAAACATAAATGTTCAGAAAAATAGCTTAAATCTCATAACATTATACATTTATATATACATTTATTATTATTTATTATATTGACTTTTTAGCCGTGCCTGGCTAACAATAAAGAAGTTACAATGATGTGGTGCATGTGCACTCATGTTACTGTATCCCATAACCTTTAGTCTTTCCAAAGTGACCTGTCTCGGCTGTGTTGTAGTGGACTATTATTTTGTAAAATATAGTCACATTCAATTATTATACATTATATATATATATATATAGATTATTACTATTTACAAATAACTTCTTAAACTTATTTTCTTAAAACACAGAACAGTAAATAAAGAAATAAAGTAAACAATTATCTCTTCTAGTTACAACCTTTGTACTCGTTTACCGCTTGTCATAGCTTGCTAAGCCTTAAGAAATTCCGCACGTGGAGGATATGAAACAAAATATATTTTTTTAGTTTTAGTTTATATATACTTAGTTAGAACAAACAAATATACTAATTAAATTACTATATAACTACCTAGTAAGTACTTCCTACTTATACTTAATTTTACTACGAA